AAATAGTGGGATTGACTGTCACATTATAACGCCCCCACGGCTGAAAGGGCAAGCATGTTAGGTGGGACGGGGATTTGAACCCGCGATCCTCAGATTGCCCGAGAGAAAGAGAACAAGAGATACAGTTTGGTAGAATTTTCCATTTATAAGGAAGGGAAACGTTAAAAACCGCCTGACCAAACCTTTGAGAATAAACAACGTATAAGGTAGAAAATAGTGTTTTTGAGGCAGGTTAAGTCTAATTAATGGTGCATCCCCACCGCTAAGTGGGTCCTTTTTCCTTCAGCCACTTCCAAAAACAAGGAACTCAGTCGTATGGCTGCCATGTCCAAAGGACGCCACTCCTTCCTGCATAGTTTTCGAATTCATCTCCAGAGTGTTGAATACGTTATATTGGAATAAATTTCAATATGCAAATTGACAAGTCACGTGATAACCACAACTGACCTAAAGTCGTGATAGATCGGCAGGTACTAGAGCTATATGTTGAAATTGTTGGGTATTCGCAGATAGTGTGATACCACCGAAAATATGTCGCTTTTGGGAAAGACATGTAACAGTCCTTTATGACGCAAAATATTCATACGTTCACATTATAAAAATGTTTTCACATCGGGGATTTAGAATATTCAAGATTGGAGTATCATGTGTACTTAATGACATTGGAAAATAAAGAAAATATGGATCAACTTGATGTACCAGGCCCATCCAGAAAGAGACCTGCAATAAATCGTAGCTCAATTGCAGTTAGCGAAGTGAGGCGTCTTGTAACAGGTAAGAATTTACGAACGCAACATAGGATCTCCGTCTGGAAAAGCGACATATAGCGCTGACAAACTGTCGTCCACGTGCATCATGCAGATGTCTAATGCTTAAACCGTATATAGATCTATTACAATGTTTAGTATTACACCACACAGTGCGGATGTTCAATATTTGAGAGTGTGTAGAATCGTTTCTAGTTGATTACACACAGGGATTTTCTAATCATCATACATCTGTAGTGATTTAGTTACATAACGAACAAAATTGTAAACTTGGCCTCGGAAATTTTTAGTTACACTATAGTTGTGTAGTGATACAATTTTTTGGTTCGCAGTAAGTACGTTAAACGTTTCTGAAAAATTAGCGTGTTTCAGATAATTAATTTAATCAAATAACAAATATATATAGTCTATATATTTGTTACTGAACATGGCTTCTCTGATATGTAATTAGTTTAGGCTTACAAGCCAAAGCTAAGTAGTTTTCATCAGGCATTTTTTGCAGCAATGAATCAAATAAAACTACACTGTACAAAATACATGCTCGAGAATACAAGAATATACGGTAGTCAACAAACCGTATTAAACTATTTTCTTTATTTCATGAGAAGCATTTTGGTTTGTAAATCTGTAAATACACATCACATATACAATAATTCATACAAGCTCGAATTCATTAAAAACATTTTCGTTTTACAATATCAAAAGGCATCCATGAAGGCAAAGCGACAGAAAATGGAATATGACTAATTTAAGTGACATCATTCTGTTAACTTTCAAGTACTAAGTATATCTTTGAAAATGGCTCTAGAACTACAGGTTACAGAAAAGCAGTAATTCTATTGTAACACGATCTATTTTTTGTGTGCTTGCAGTTACTAATGTCTAGCGAAACCTAAATGTGTAAATGACAGCTCCAAAAATTACATCTGACATCAGAAAAAATTTCTTTCAAGCAATCAGTAAAGATAGTATTAGTAATTTTGGGAATATCTACTGAATAAACATCGGATCTTCATTACATTAGTTTTAAAATGTTAACGTTTAATCTCTGCTGATCTGCTATGCTATGAACGTTGCTAAAATACTCACATATTCCAAAATACTATTCGTTCATGCCTTTACACAAATTATTCGGAACTTAGACCCACTTTACTATACATTCCAATCAGATCGTTAAAAGTTACTTTAACTATTCCGAATAATACGTTTACGAAGAGATGTTAGTTCTCTTACTCTGTATAAGTTAGTTTGATTATGAAGCTAAAATATTTTTTCACATAGATATATATTTGTAATTATATTCACATTTTTTAATGTGAAACATTGTGCTCCACAAAAAATTATATAATCTTAAGATGCAAAACTGTATCAATTCAGTTACTTAATCTAAAACTTGAAAAGTTTTTTATTTATTCACATTTTAACTTTGTCTTTTTTAAGAATTTCTTTATTTAACATATTTTACACTTGCACTAGATCGTTCACTAGAGTTTTCTCCGTGTTGTTTAAACGCGACGATTTATCCTGCCATCTGGTGGTCGGCGCATCATAATGTTGTATTGGCACATCTTCTTTACGTTCTGGCGTAACCTTCTTTAATGAAAAAGACAATTAATATGAAAAAATGAGATACTTACATCAGATTTTTCTAAACAAAATTTTTTGATCGACAACCGTATGAACAACCTCCACTTAGGCGGGAAACTTCTGTCAAGTTAAACATAAACCAACATGTGCACAACATATTGAACAGACAGTTCTAAAAAAACAGTTTACTGTATTTTTCATTGGCATTTATTCCATAAGTAATACTATTCCAGTTATAATACTAATGTATGGTCCAAGAGGTCCAATGGTGCTCAAAAAATGCACAAAGTTTTTTTTTCTTCTATTTTTATAGTAGATTTTAACAATGTTTATTCTGTGCTATTTCTTAGTTTATTGCTCGTGTACTGGAGAACTGAGACGTAAAACTCTGGGTGAAGCTTGGAATTTCAGTTCAGACAGTAGTAGTAGTCCCCTATAACAATATATATACATGTCTTTGGTATTATAAATACCTGCTTATCCTCATCGTCGATGCTTTATCAGTCGTTGTTGACTCCATTTAGATGCCAAGCTGCTTTCAACCATAGTTTATATAGCAGAATAATAACTAGGACAAAATTCAAGTGATTCGTGCCACCGTAACATTTGTTATGAAACTGACAAATCTGAACGAATATAAGTTATAATAAGTATGTGTTTAATATTATTGTATAAAGAAATTACTTTTTATTTGGGGGGGGGGTCTAAACTACAACTATTTGTAAAGAGTTGCACAATCAAAACTGTCTTCACGCATTTCTTTTTTCAAACTATTGTGCTAATCTTTAGCCAAGTAATTTTGTGTTTTTATCAAACATATGTAGCCTATGTCTCTGATATTTTTTCCCTTTATTCCAGACATTCCCAACCTGGGGTACATTTGCATTTATCAGGGGGGGGGGTACATAGAGGTCTGAGAGTATAACCATGGTTTACACTTTACACGGTGTTTTAATCTACAGTCAGACAAAGAGAGCAAAGTGGCTCAAATAAATACACGCTGAGTTCAATTTATCGATGTTATCAATACTATAAGTTCCTTATGCAGTCCATACATACCGATTTCATAATAACATAATATAAAATCAATATAATTTTATTAATTTTTAATCCTTAATTTTTAGGGGTACATGGGGACCTGTCAGAATGCCACAGGCCAAGGGGTACAGAGGAACAAAAGGGTTGGGAATCCCTGCTTTATTCTTTCGTGGGGTAAATATATGCAATAAAGTATTAAAAATAAGCCTGATTTTATACGTCTGAAATGTATACTGAAAAAACACTTACTCTTTTAGAAACGCGTACTTTCGGCAGGAACACTGGTTTCATTGCCAGTCCCAGACTGCTTTCATCGTCCTAAAAGATGAAAATTAAGTTTCCGGGGTGTTTGAAATATGACATTTAAGTTCACTTCTTTTAAAAACACAATAACATTATGAAAACCTTAATTAACAGAAACTGCAATATTACTATTACAAGTACTCTTTAGTGGCATTTATTCTTCAAATTTATTTTTTACTTTTTACTCCCGTATTAAATAATTGAAATTTCATCTAACATACTTCAAATTCTCCAAGTTGAGTCTTCATCTCGAGAATGTTGCTGTAAAAAGGGCCAAAAGAGGAACGTTTGGAATATTGGCTGTCAGTTTCCATCTGGGATGTTGACCTTAGGGAATGCAGAAAAGTTCAATAAAGCCCATGTGATTGGATAAATAACCCATGATGTCCAATAAAAAACCATGCTATTGGGTAAATAATTTATGATATTCAGTATTATCGGATAAATAATATCTGATGTCCAATAAAACCCATATTATTGGATAAATAGTCTACAAGTTTCAATAAAAACAATGTTATTGGATAAATAATCTATGGCGTTCAATAAACGCCATGTTGAAAAGTACTGTGCTGGGTGGGTAACAACAACAATGATCATAAAGATTTACGAGAACTATAATAGAGAAAACATTTCAAAACATGCACAGTTAATGCATTTCGGTGATTTATACATTCTGTATACCAGGCAAATAAACACAAATGATAAAAATCTAACCTAAACCCCTTGACATTCGCAGGCAATGAACCCGTGTGGATGTTTGCATATTCTCTTGATGATTGGAAAGCCCCTTCTTTCATGAATTTGACATTTTCATAGGTTTGACTTGGTTGGTAGACAGTACTACTTTTTCTCTTCTCTACGCTCATATTAGTCTCCGAATCCCGTCTTTTACTGGCAACTCTTGGGAGACCCTGCCAACTTTCAACCTTTTGAAGTCCTCTTCTGTCCTCTGAATTGGCTTGACTATTTCTATCAAAGTCACTAGCTAATCTGTCAACTTTCAGACCTGCCGTTTCCGGAAGCCTATGTGAAACTTCTAATGTTGGTACATTATTGACGTAAGAAGCTTTAGAATCTGGCGAGGCTACCTGAATTAAAAAATAAAGTCAAGGAAGTAGTGTACATACATTATAAAACAACTATCACAAAAATACTACACATAGTTAAAACGATTTAAACGCCATTTTAACTTTCTGAAGAAAATATAGGTGTTGTAGATTCGTCTAGTGGGTCAGTGGCAACTTACGGACTTACAACGCAAAAGCATTCGGGGTTCGATTCCGGGCGATAAACAGGGCGCACATTACTTATTATGATAAACAAACAAACAAAAGCTATTGTATAGCCCCCAGTGGCACAGATGTATGTCTGTGGACTTACAACGCTAGAAACTGGGTTTCGATACCCGTGGTGGGCAGAGCACCTAATTCCCTAATCACCTCCAGAAAAAAAATTAATAGCTGAAAATCATCTCGAAAGCGTTTACATGAAACACCAGTGAATATTTTATCAGAGCTTTTATCATTAGCCAAAACGTTCGGCCTAGAAGAAAATCCCGATTTAACCTCAACTAAAGTGATATATTCTTATGATAAAAAAGCCACTATATATTCTTTCTGCTAATTTGCCAATACCAATAACAATCAATTTAAAAAGTGAAAACTCTTCGGAAAAAACTACGTCGAAGAGAAAATAAGATTAAATCTTTATATCAAGTAATAAGACAATTGGAAGAAGATAATTATATCTATACTGAGGTTGGTACAGTGAAAACTGTTTTCGTGCATCTAAAGGAAGAAAATACTGTGACGAAGTTAAGAAATTTACTCTGACTCTCCACTTTTATTCTCCTCGTACAACCAGTTAGGTTCGTTTACTGCTGCCATTCCCAACACCCAGCAATTAGATGTCTTATGAACCAGAGTTTTTCATTAATGTTTCTATATACTTAAAAACGATGGAAAATGGAGACTATTCCAGTGAAGATGGTGCTTTTCTTTTTTGGCATCATGCATATAATTTCAAGAATACTATTTAATAATGCTACAATAAGTTATGTTGGATTTGTTAACATTGGTGAATATATTGCCACTAAGGCTCTCATATTTATGTTAGATGCTTTACAAGGACACTGCAAATGCTCTATTGGGTACGTGTTATGCGATAAAATAACAGCATGTAATTTGTTCTGCCTTATCAAGAGCACTTGAAATAGCAGTTAATCACAGATTAAATGTTGTTTCTATAACATATGGTGATAGACACTGCGTATCCTTGGTTCTAGATTACCTGAGTACAGTAATAACGTTGTTCATTCACTGGCAAGTGAATCTGTCTGGTTTTATTCTCGATGTTTGTAATGTGCTAAAGCAGTCTGAAATACCTGATGACATAAATTAGTCAATATACACTTTTATATGTTATATGAGCTACGAGAAGAAGAGGTAATTGAAATTTGATAATAATGGATGTTGAAATAGCTGCACAAACCTTAAGCAGCTCTGTAGCAGATGCATTAGACTTAGAGTATCTCATGGTTTCCAAGCATCTCTCATTTCAAGATGAAAAGGCACAATAAAGTTTATCAAAATTGTTTACCAGCGTTTCGATCTTCTCAATTCAAGGAAACAGTTTGTGAAAGGAGTTAATGGGCCTCTTTAATATATTAATAGAAGCAGATGGTAGAAAATGCTGACAAGAGCTTTTGGAACTTTATGACAAATCTGGCATTTCCTTGATAAAATACAGACGCAAAGCATTTGTTGTTGCTTCTGTTATAGGTGATCTGCTGTTTACATGTATCGGAGAAAAAACTGTTGTCTTGATAACAATCCAGATGTTATTCAACTAAAGTCTAGTCTCAGAAATATTCTTCTGCGAAATTTGATTACAGGATGAAAGTATGCAAATTATCTACTTTCGTGAAAGGTCCTACAGAGTCCATTTTCTCTTTAATAATGTGCAGAAGATACTGATCTTTAAGATGTTTGTTAAGCATGTTTGCTCACATTTAGATTCCTTTGAGCTCTCACATGATCAAAAATCTGTTTAAGGCTATATTGCAGGATACATTATCATAAAGTTTAAAATGAAATAAATTGTTCGCAGTTTGCCAAAGCACTTGTTCCTCATTCGTATGGAGTTGACAGACAACTGAGACCACGCTTTCTGTAACCATCTAGGCTCAGAATATGTAAATGTTATTAACAGTAAAGACCGCGGTGGTCAAGGATTTCCTTATTTGGGTGTTATTAACATTTTATAGAAGTGTGTGAAAGGGTGCTAGCCTGTTGAACTGACTGTTTAATAATTCATTAATTTGAAGCATAAATATTGTAAAGTACATTCTTATTCTCTCTGTGTACCAAGAACTTGCTATTACTAATTTACTTCCAGCTTCGAACAAGCATGATTTCAACTGTGAATGTGTGAAAGAATATATGCATTTTACTCGGATTATTAAAAAATTGATTGATCATTATTTGTCAGTTCGTCTTCTAACTTATGAACGACATTATTCGAAGACGGTTATTTAAAATTATAAGCTGGTATTCTTCAGCAGTAAAAAAAAATGGTGTTGTTTAAGAATATTTAAAACAAACAAAAGATTGGAAGATCGAATGTATTTTACTTTATTTCAAACTAATGAATAATAATTACACGTTTTTTACTACGTAGGTCAATAAAGATAATGACGTGGCACAGCGGCATGTCTGCGGACTTACAAAGCTAGAAACCGGGTTTCGATAACTGTGATGGGCAGAGCACAGATTACCCCATTTTGTAGCTTTGTACTTAACTTCAAACAAACAAACAGTTACAGTATAAAACTAACGATATAATCATGTTATTTTAAATATTTATTTTTAAGATTCTTTTGAAGGAATCAAGTATTTGCGAATCTCTAATTGTATATGTGTAATCTTACATTCATTCTGAATTCATATTTCTGCCTTACAAGATCCGATTACCAACAAATCTTTTTAAACGTGAACGTCATCAGCAGCCTACATTCGATTGATGTTCATACATTATTGATTTTCTAATTTCTGGCTGTGTATTTGTTTTAATAAAACACGTACAATTATTCTGCATGTATCTTACTATTGGGTATTTACTTTTTATTTAGATTGATTTTAGGATATGTTTATTGTTGTTTACATCACGATTTCAATGCCTTGCCAAGAGTGGTTCTTAATGTTTCTTAAACTTCAGTTTTTTTTATTATCATGATTAATCCAATATTTTAAATAGTGCACGTTTTACACATGTGTTGGAGTTATTCCTTTTCTACCGTATTCTATTAAGCTTTCCACGAACATTATGTTTTAAACCTCTCGTTTTTGCAAAACTTAATACTTATCTGTTGACTGTAGTTTTACTTGCTAACACAATATACTTGTATACTTGTTGACTTTTCTTTACGATTACAAATTCGCTAATTCAAAATAACTGTTCTAGTGTGTTGAAATTTTTAAAAACATTTTGAGTACTTATGTTAAAGTTACATTTTAATTACGTAATAAATATGCTGAAAAACATGAAGTAATCAATTCTGTTTGTTGAAATTCGAGGACTATCTGCATTAGGCGTTCCTAATTTAGCAGTGACAGACTAAAGGGAAAATAGCTAGTCAATACCACGCGCCGCCAACTCTTGGGCTGCTCTGTACCAAAGAATAGTGAGACTGACCATCACATAATAACACTCTCACGGCTGAAAGGGGCGAGCATGTTCAGTGAGTGGATTAGAACTCGCGACCCGCAAATTGTGGGTCGAATTTCCTAACCAAAAGCCCATGTAAGCAATTCTAAGTAGAAAAGAATATTGCATTATATTAACAAATTACCCACTTTGTATTGATGTAAAAAAACCTAAACAGTTGAAAATATTACAGTGGGTTAAGAAGTTAAAAAATGTTAAAATGTTACACTGACTTAAGAAGTTAGCCGAAATATAGAAGAAAAAATAAATAAATAATGAAAAATATTACACTGACTTAGAAAGTTACGCATTTTGTGCTAAAGAAATACACATAATCAAATAGTGTGAAATATTACAGTGACTTAGAAAACTATCCAATTTATGATATGGGAACGTTGTTCCTAAAAATCCACTCCAAAGCGGCTTATTTTGTGGCAAATTGGTGTAAGTGTGAAGAACAAAACTTGTTATCACCTATGGTTACCAAACAGTAAATTAATAGAGCCTACTTTAACATAACATTGTGTGTGTTTCTTATAGCAAAGTCACATCGGGCTATCTGCTGTGTCCGCCGAGGGGAATCGAACCACTGATTTTAGCGTTGTAAATCCGTAGACTTACCGCTGTCCCAGCGGGGATTTAACATAACAACTCTAGTATGTTTACTCACTCTAAAAGCATGTGACTTTTAATCGGTAGCATATTCTACATACCTCCAATGCCCTTGGTTTAGAATAAAAGTGGCTTGAGTGCCTTAGTATCTTCCCTTTTCTCGAGCTAGCTCCAGCTTCTTCTGGAATAGAAAGTTTCAGTCTCGTAGGTAATGTGGCAAACGAGCTGGTTTCTTTCATATTGAGAAGACTTCTTGGCTAAAATGTAGCATAATTTTGAGAATTATTTCTATTGTTATCAAACAAAACTGTAGTTTTCGTATCCAAAATAAAGGGAAGGAATAAACAAAACTACTATAGTCTTTTCTGTTTACGTGGTTTTCTTATTATGCATAACATATGAATGCTTATTATCCTACTTCAGAATTAAAAATGGTAAAAGTTTTGTTTTTTCTTGAATATTATGAACCTCTAAAACAAGTCTTCAAAATTTTGATCAATTTTGATCCTTGAGCCACGTAATGTTTTCCAAAAAAATTTAAATATTCAATGCATCCAATCTTTGCCCAGAAATTTAAAAAAATGGTGCCAGTATTCTTTTTCTTACTAGTATGAATAGGGGGTGTAAAGTTCAGTGAACATACTTTTGGCAAAGTTTTATTGTCAAAAATGTAAAATATATTCTAAAATAGCTTTCAAAATAACCTGTATTTTACCTTTATTCGCCAATAATGGAAGAAATGCTAAAACGTAAGCACGCCAAGTGCAGTAGTAACTGCTGGACTGATCACTTGCAACGCGAGCACCTAGTGACCATGGCTAGCGAATCCTTACTTTATCTCTCGTAAATTGTATTATATATATTAAACATTGCTCAAATGGCATGAAGCAATGAATTCAATCTACATCTGTTTACCTAAAGCATTTACCTATTTTTTCTTATTGTGACTAAATATTTATTCTTGAAAGCACGCCACGTCAGTGGTGAATGAAAAACAACATCGATTATTAAAGATAAAAATACTCTCCTTCCCCATCATCTCGTCACTTTCATTCCCAGAGTTCATTTCGCATAACTCAGCTATGTCACGTCTTCTTCCAGCTCTTTTCCACACATTGTAATAAGTAAAAATAGCATACTTTCAGTCCTATGTAATGTACTCGACAATGTGTCTAATATAAGCAATATCCTGATCTGCATATTACTTCCTTGCATGAGTTTCTTTCTTTGAAATGTCTAGTTTAATAATTACGATTACAGTGTAAGTGTCTTTAGTTGATGTATCACACAAATATATGTGAAATTCATCCAAAAACGCTTGAGCGAAAACAAGTGCCACAATTGTGCTTTACCCCAAACAGTAAATTATATTTCATAAACACAGTAAAATAAAGAAACTTGGCATTGCTCCGAATGAATCATTTTATTCATGTAACGTACAAAAATATATAAAATTGAACTTACATTCAGCTTTATTCCAAATTCACCTGAGAATCAACGCTTGATTACTCTGAATAAAATATAATGTGATGAATCAGGAGCTAAGCATGATGTAAATTCAATTTGACAGCACATGAACAAAATGATTGAGTAGCATGGATGCTTGTTTGTTTGAATCTAAGCACAAAGCTACACCACGGGTATCGAAACTCGGTTTCTAGCGTTGTAAGTCCGCAGACATACCGCTGTGCCACTGGGGGGCGGAGGTGTCATGGATGCATTTATTGTTTTTCAATTACATTTCACTTTTAGGCTTATTTGAGATGATAAGATATTCCTAGTTTATAAATGACCTACACGCCAGTAACTTACAACGATTTGAGTGGACAAACTGAGATAACAACAAGTGGAAAAAGGAAGATTAACTAAACTTTCAAAAGGTTTATATGAATAAGTGTTGGAAGATAAAATGATTCATCTAGGATGAGAATGATATTTGATCCATTCATAAGAAAGTGTGATAAACTTTAAGTATATATATAATGTATGGAATAAGAGGTAATACATGCTATAAGATCTGTAGTTTTGCCTGACAATGGGTTATAAATATTTTAATATAGGTGATTCTTGAAGAGCATAGGCCTGCCAAAATTGTGACCTTTTTGATAAAATCAAGACTTTCAGAACTCTTGCAAACTAGCACCTCAAGGCCTAGTTTTCTTTTATAAGTTGTTATGTTTATTACTGATGTGTCATTTACTATTTCTAACTAATCTTGTAATCAAACTAATAATACTACATTGACGTCATAAAACTTTATGTCAACATTTTTAAATGTATATATTACGGTATTATTTTGAAATAGATATCGTCATCCAAATTCTGTTAAGTAAAAACACGTGTTCATATTTTTTTTTAAATAAGTTACTAAATATACAGTAAACACGTGTAAGTGTATATTATTGTAGCTTCGGAGTACATTAATCAGAAACATCTTTAGACGATGTCAGTAAATAATTAATTGGAACAGATAAAGTAAAAACCAACTTATGGCTTTATTAATGTGATGTAGGATTTATGTTTGTTTGTTTCTATTTTTATGGCACACGGTTTGGGAATCGAACCCAGGATTTAAGCGCTGTAAGTCGCTGTCTCACCTGGGGACTGTGGGGTTCTTCTGATGACTTTTATACTACTTTGATTTTATTTTTAAGGCTCTGTTAACTTTCAGGAACTAGTGTCTTTACTGAAACTTTAAGTTAAAATGTATATCAACTATCAACAAAATCAGATCTGAAAAATAAATACTTACGTGTTTGGGTTCTTCTAAAAGTGCCAGCAAACCCTTCTGCAATTTTGCAGCCTCAGAAGTATCGTGTCCAGTTTGGCCACCGTCACCAATGTCCTTATTTCCAGTCTGTGTAACAAACAAAAACAAGTTTACTGTCTTGACGCTTCAATGCCCAATTTTTATCAAGTAAGTTTGAAACAGGGGTGCTTAGTTAGGTCAATTGCAGATGGTTGTCAGAAAACAATGGATTACATCCAGCCGCATCTTTTAAGGCTCTCTTAATATGGCATGCACAACAATGCTGTACAGTGTTTAATGGAGATGACTATGTGTTTCTGAGCTCTTCCACTGTCATTTAGTTATTTTGTTCAACCATAGTGCTTCAACGCCTTTCTGGGTTTATAAGTCATATTTTCTACATCAAACATGTTGCAATTAATGGGACAACTTCCTTGCAGAACTGAAGAAAGCTAACCTTAATTATTAGATTTCTTCCAAGGGTCAGATAAGCGGAAAATTAATAATAATAATATGAAATTTGTGAAGGTGTAACATAAACAAAGGATTAATAACATAGTATGTGTGAAAACAAAGCCTCTTAGAACATTTACAAAGCTAAACAATGAGCTATTTGTACTGTGCCTAACATGACCTGCAGCCTGAGCCACTGGAGGCTTCTTACACTTTGATGCTCACGTGTTATTTATTTTCTTTAATGCTTATCTCCAGCTTTCTCAGAACATAAAAATAAAATTAAAAAATCGCAAATTATGCATATGTACACAAGAATGCATTATTCGCAACAAAGAGACTAGGAGTTACTGCAAACAAATAAACAAAAGTGCAGGAATATAAAGTTCATAGAACACCAGTTATTCAATAAAATAAAATAAACTTTATTAATTGTATCAACTAGGGAATTAAAACTTTTGTACACATGCTTGATTTTCGAACTTGAAAAAAAAAGTTATGAATAGTTATCCAAAACTAAATAGTAGTTTTGTGAAAGGTTTAGGTCCCTTATTATCATGCAAGCCATGTGTTTTACATGCGCACGTTTCCGTTAGTACGACAGGGGTTATGGGATTAATTAATTACACATTGGTAATAGAGGGTGCATTTTGTTTTGGGCAATCTTTGAAACTGAGTATTACTTTGGAATGTAGGCTCATTTTCGCTTTATAATTAATCTAGCGTTATGAAAATTACTCATAAGCTTCGCTTACTACCTAATGAGACCAACAGAGTTTACAGCATACTTACGTGAAACTATTGCTGTTAATTTTGTAGACTTGCAAAGTCTAGTTTCTAGGTTGTGGAAAAGATAATAATGTTAAAGGACGACCGACGTGGAAAGAGGGCGCTGCTTGTTTGTTTTGAATTTCGCGCAAAGCTACACGAGGGCTATCTGCTCTAGACGTCCTTAATTTAGCAGTAAAAGATTAGTGGGAAGGCAGCTAGTCATCAACACCCACCGCCAACTCTTGGGCTACTCTTTTACTAACGAATAGTAGGATTGACCGTCACATTATAGCACCTCCATGGCTGAAAGGGGGAGCATATTTGGTGGAATGGGAATTCGAACCCGCGACCCTGAGATTGCGAGCCAAGCGCCCTAACCACCTGGACATGCCGGGCCAGGGGGCGCTGTGTAATGCAGTCTGACTAATTCAAATAGTTTTTTGAAACAGTGTAACTCAATTCCAGCGAGATACTGAAGTTTAACTCATACAACAGATAGCAAAAAAAAACAAGTTACTCCAAGACTACTGCTACGTCATCCATAGACTCTTGTACAGTGGTATGAGGATCCATCATTTCAGATGGCGATGGTGTTGCTTATGTCCAGTTCTCTTCACAGCTGAGTCCAGATTCTGTCTTTATGTCATGACGGTATCCATCGTCGTGTGTGAAAACTATTTGGAGGACATTAAGCCCATTGCAGGGTAGTTAAACAAACATGCTAGGGAGTGGCTGTCTGATGGTGTGGAAAAGACATTCGCTATAACTGATGCACTCAGTTGGTTATATGTAGAAATGATGTTCTATATGCTATGGATGATATAGGGAGTAAGTCCAAGTAACTACTGTATTTCACTGAACCCATTGGACCCGACTTAATTTTGTAGGACAATCAAGCTTGTTCTCCCATTTAAGTATCACCCCCCCCCCCCAACTGTTGAGAGAGTGGACTAGTTAGCATTATCTCCGAACCTCAGCCTCACAGAACACACCGGGAAGTTTCTTTAAGGACAGTTTTCGTGTTGAATTCAACCATCAAGATTGCTGGATCAGCTTGAAAATGCCTTGGTCAGGGAATGGGGAAATATTACCCAGTAATCCATCCAGAGAATCACCCAAAGTATAAGCGACGTTATAAAACTATTTTGGTCATTCACAGTGGAAACCCAAAATTCTGAAAACTGAATATTTTATATTCCAGAACCATCCTTTTGTTTTAGACACTCCTAAAGTTGGATTGGCTTTATTTTAAGAGGCCATTATAGAGAAAGTCCATGCATGCAGAGTCGCTGTATTCTTTCAAACACTCTCAAAAAAAGGCGATGTTTCCAGGATTCGTTTCAGAAAAAGTCCTTGCTTACGGAGTTACTGCGCTGTTTTAGGTACTCACAAACTGAGAGTAACGTTATACAAAGGTGCAGCTACAGAGTTATTTCAGGTTAATATGTACAGTTTTGTCCGAAGAAAGTAATAAATTTCCTTTGAATACTTAGTTTGCGAGTTATAAATTGTCTCTTTAAAATATACACACATATATATATAACAATAATCTCTTAATTAGTTTGTCCACTATGTATCCAAAACATTTCATTTTCTGGTGTGTGAGATAGATATATTCTATTTCGTAATGATATCCATATTAACACATATAACTCTTTTAACGCATAATTCACAATTCCTGGCAAAATCCAAAATTTATAAACTTACTAGCTTTCTCTTCGTTATTTTTCAAAACACCACAAAATAGTTGAAAATTATGATGCACCATTCTGATGTCCTCCAAACAGTATAAAAAAACTTAACATCTAAAACATGTACTTGAAACAAAAACTGTATGTCTTTACTAACAGCAGTGTGTTTTCTTATCTAGCATAGCGGATACACGAGAAAATTAACTTAAAAATAATTATATGTGTGTTTTTGTTTATATAAAAGTCACATCGGGCTATCTGCTGTATCTACCGATGGGAATCGAACCCCTGAGTTTATCGTTGTTCGTAGACTTACCGATGTGCTACCAGGGGATTTTAAAAGTTGTAATTTGTTCCAATTTTTACCCCCGACACTGTTTTTTAAGGCATCACAAAATATACCTTCATATTTAAGTGTACTTATAGAGTTAGATATAATGTCTGACTAAGCTGATAGCTGAAGTTTTCCAACGCACAACCTCAAGGGGGAAATCCTACCATATAAATCCCTGATTTATTAATTAATGTTAAGGAAATAGTTAAAATCTTTGGGATTTATGATTACTCTAGCGGGTTATGTTTACCACAAGCTTCTCATTCATTCGATTATTCACCTGTTTGGAACTGAGCTGATGGTGATGTTTTACACGTGGAATAATCACTGGCTGTACACTAACACCAGTGGACCAACTGCGACCGAGACTTGCCTCGCTTTCCTTATTGGTCTTTCTTGGTAGGGTGCCATCTTCCGGCTGTTTAATAAAAACATTTAAGATTTAGTAAACTTTATTAACATCCAATGTTTATTTACTTCAAGTTTATTGTAACTTATTAAAGATCGCACTTTCTCTGAAATTAGCTCATAAATGTTTCATGGGCATTAGGCTAGAACAAAAAAAAAGGACGATGAGAAAATTATACCGGCTCAAAAAATATTATTTTACAAAGTATATTTAATCCAAATGTAATTAATATAATTTCTACTACTATGATAAAAGATAAACTAACTTTTTCTTACATCTTTAATTCTTCCTGTACTATCAAATTTATTAAGTACTTATTACTTTAATAGTATCCTTTGTTAACCTCTGAGCATAAACTTTTTCTGAGCCACAACTCCAACTAACAAAACTATGAGAATCAAAACGTACAAACAGATACGCCTCTTCTGAAATTGGAGACAAGAATCCAATTAGCTCCCCAGCGGCAGAGCGGCATGTCTGCGGACTTACAACACTAGAAACCGAGTTTCGATACCCGTGTTGGGCAGAGCACGGATAGCCCATTCTGTAGCTTTTTGCTTAACTTCAAACAAACAAACAATCCAATTAAGGAATTATTTTTTGAATATCAACGAAGTACAACTATTTTATAGCATCAAATATAACGTCAATGAAAATTATGCCTAACAAAATGAATTATAGCTGAAAATATAGCATAGTTAAAAATGTAGCGGACAGTTTGTTTGTTTTGAATTTCGCGCAAAGCTACACGAGGGCTATCTGCGCTAGACGTCCCTAATTTAGCAGTAAAAGACTAGAGGGAAGGCAGCTAGTCATCACCACCCACCGCCAACTCTTAGGCTACTCTTTTATCAACGAATAGTGGTATTGACCGTCACATTATAACGCCCCGATCCTGGAAGGGCGAGCATGTTTGGTGGTACGGGGATTCGAACCCGCGAACCTCAGATTGCAAGTAGAGCGCCTTAACAACCTGGCCATGCCGGGCCTGTAGCCGACAGAGAAGAAGGAAAACAGCTTTAATGTCTATGTACAAACTGCAAGGGATTCTCAATCCCATTTAAGCATGTTTAGATTTAACTACGTTTAGAAAGCACTAAAAGTAAATTGTGGCTGCCAAAAAATATACGTTCAACGTGACAAAGGATAGAGCGGAGCTGTGGCTCAGAAAGTCAAAGGATCAAGTCGCCATATGCAGCTTAACGCAATCAACACTTTCAACTGAAGGAGCGTCATGACTTTGACAGCTATAATCGCTATTCCGATAAAAGTAGTAATACAAGCGACAGATGCTCTGGACTTTGAGGTCTATGTGTCACATAAGGTGCCGTTAAGGATGGAAATACCAAACACCATAAAATATACTAAAAAAAGTTGCAACAAAAAGTTGAATCTTTTAAAATACTTCAGCTAATCATATTTAATGAAAATTAAATATTTGAAATATAGAACTTAATAATAGCTTGACATTGTAAAATTGAAATTATAATAGCAGCTTTGTGCATATCAACTTCTCACCTGATAAGGATTATCGAAAGCGTATGGGTGACGTACACCATGGTCAATACTGCCATTAATTGAGGAGTTCAAGATCATAGCCTTTTTGTCCATGGCGCCTTCATTTGGTACTCCATTGTTCATTCCCATAGCTCGTATCATGGCATTACTTTTGACTTTTTGTTGCCGTTGTCGGAGCCACCGTCGATAGCAATAAAACAAGCTACAACTTATTAAGATAAGCAAGGCAGCGGTGATGGGTAGCGCGATAGCTAATACTGAAAAAATATGTTATATTAGTTCAAAACATTGAATTGTGCTCTTAACTGGTATTCATGTTTATTTGACAGTAGATAATATCGTCTTACAATACAAATCTATATCAGAGTAGCAGAAACAGAACTACCACTCCTGTTTTCGTTATAATTGCACAACAGTCAATGGTTAAAATTATTGGGGATATTAAGCATAATTCTGTGCAAGACAATGCTAAGAACTCATGAATAGTATCATTATAAAACAAAGTAAATCTGTCGATAATATTTTTAGAAAATTATATATACAGAGGTTGAGTGTGTTGTATTAAAACGATTTTGTGCATGCAAATCAGCAAGCCACATGAAAATGACGACCTTTATAAAGTTACGGTGGAACGGCATGTATCACAACTACATTTTGACATTGATTGGTGTTTTGTAGGTAGTGTGATACTATCTAAAATGGATCGATTTTGTAAAGGGTATATAATATATACATACACCGAGATTAATAGGTGGGTTCAGAATGGGGATTTAGAATCTATATAAATATAATAGTACTGTCTGTTGTATATCTATGTAACTACTTCGCAGGGTGTGGATGGATCTTTACCAACATTGATGTGGAGGTTCATTAGGTCCATGCGAGGGTTCATATAAAGTTTCAGTTTTACATTTTACGTTTTGCGGTTTTATGGGCGTTTTTTTCACTACTTCGCTCCCTGTTAATGGATTTTCGTCAACTTTGGCACGAAGGTTTATTGCGTCAATGGGGACATATATACCCATTTTCAGTTTTGCATTTTTACGGCTGTTCTTGCGGGTTATTTTTTACAATTACATATAAGGGAAGTAACTTTTCATGTCCTAAGATAACCTTTCGTTAATCATGAATTTACATAATTTCCGTCCAGATGACGGGTACGCCATCTAGTTTCCAATGCGAAGATATCTCTTGGATTTTTATGGTACTGGAAAATAGAATTGGCAATCCAGAAAAAGACCTGTGATAATTTGTATCCCATCCAATAAGGAGATATTCCTTGGCCTTTATGGCACAAAAAATATGGAATATAGAATGGACTAGGGAACTAGGACAATCCAGAAAAAGACCTGTGATAATTTGTATCCCATCCAATAAGGAGATATTCCTTGGCCTTTATGGCACAAAAAATAAAGGAATATAGAATGGACTAGGGAACTAGGACAATCCAGAAAAAGACCTGCGGTAATTCGTATTCCAGCCGTGGTAAGCAAAGTGTGGCTTCTTCTAATAGGTAAGAATCCACGAATACAAAGGCCAGTGGCCGTCCACGTGCCCCAGTACGCAACACAGTCAAGAAGGATCTCTGTGTGAAAGAGAAAACGCAATTCACGAGTACATAAATTTCTTTCATGGTATATCCTTTCAACCATCACATATATACGAAAACATACTAGTAAAGTCTCTGGACTCAGCCTCTATAAATTTCTGTAGAAGTAGGCTATTGAAACGAGCGCTGGGAAACCTTCTTTCTTGTAAACTAGACGGTCTATGAAAACAAGCAGGGAACGATGGTGTGTTTTGTGCATGACAGCCTTACGGCAAAACCTTTTGCAATGGAAACTACGCTGCAGTCGTCAGATAGAGCAGGAAAAGATGTGGCGACATGTACGGTGACGACGTGATGAGACTGCAAAATCGTTTTAATATAACGTACTCAACCTCTTTACACTTAATGCAACAATTGTTTTATTGTTGTTTTTGGCTTAAAGAATCTAGAGTTCGAACCTTCTAAACTGATGATCAGTCTTATATATTTTATAGTTAAAACATATTTACCAAATATACATATTTCATGTTCAAGTGATATTTTTACAATTGATGATGTACGAGTTCTGATAGAACCTTAAATGAAAACTCATTTTTCGTAAATTACTATTCTAATACGATTTTTTTACAAATAATTTATGAACGGTCTAAGCTACCCCTCAATTTCTTTTTATAAACATTATATATATATATTAAAACTAGAAGCAGTTATTTCTAATAAGAAAAATATAAAACAGAACGTACTAAGACCGTTAATATGGCATTTGGTACCAAGGTACAGTCGATGACATCTGAAAAAAGAAAATACAAACAGCTTGATATCATGATCACAACATGATGTAACATTTACCTTCAGTAGCAGAAAATAACTGTAACAACATATCATGCATAAAGACAACCTACACCTACTAGATGTAGAAAATATCCTTTTTTGTATATCTTCTATTTTGTATGGGATTATATTGGTAGCTTTCTTTGTTTGTTGTTAAGCACAATAGGCTGCTTGTGTTCTGCTCATTGTGGGAATCGAAACCAGATTTTTATCGTTGTAAACCTTCAGACTTATCTCTGAGCCACGGGGGCATGATCGTAGCAAAATAGAATATCATAGGGAACGTTCTGTAGCAACACACAGCTTGTAGGTGTCAAAATTTCAATGATTTAAGTACTTATTTAGAAGTTTCGTTATCACAATCCTCGAATATAAAGTGACTTAGCGGTAGGCTAAATTCGGGGTTCGATCCTTATGTTAGGTAGGCACAGTGCAGATAGTATTTTGTAAAGTTTTGCGCTTAATCAAATAACCAAAAAGAACTTAGTGTATACAATATATTCATATAACTTATAATAGATATCGAAGAAACTAGCTTTCTTTTTACACTTTGGAAGAAATTATTCGAGGTTATAAGTAACAACAAACGTACAATTCCTTTTCAGTTGTATTTGAAAGTGCGGCAAGGTCGACATTTAAAAGTGTAATTAGAGGAGAGTGATTTATGGACAAATCTTATACGTTACTTAACAAACAGTATAAAGGAAATGCTCAATAATATAGATAATATAGAGATTACTGTACAAATTATTTATTTACTTATTTTGTCTCACCTGCAAATTCTGGAACCTTCGTCGGTCATGATACAGTCCCCACGATAATTACAATAGTCACAGTTTTTGATCTCGCCTGCAATTTCAGAATGATAACAGAAAATATACTGAACCAAAATCATTCAAATTGTAGAGAAACTGCATACATGTTGTCAATTTTGTGAGACACCAATATTTTCTGAATCATATATATATTAACCTAGTTTTAAGTTATGCAGACAGAAAAATACATCTAAGTGTAGTGAAGCACAGTCGAATATTCTTTAGAGAACTTGCTATAGAGCAAATTGAGTCAGAGCAACTACTTGCCACAGAAGTATAACTGTAGTCACATACTGAGAATAAATACATCCGACATTCAGTCACATAGTGAGAATAAATACGTTCAATTGTCAGTCACATACTGAGGATAAATACGTTCAATTGTCTGTCACATGCTGAGAATAAATACATCCAACATTCAGTCACATAGTGAGAATAAATACGTTCAATTGTCAGTCACATACTGAGAATAAGTACGTTCAAGTGTCAGTCACATACTGAGAATAAGTACGTTCAATTACCAGTCACACACTTAGAATAAGTACGTTCAATTGTTAGTCACATAATGAGAATAAATACTGTTACGACAGCGGAAGTCACGTGACGCTGATGAGTTTCTCGAACGATCGGGGAAGTCCGAGTGTGATCGAAATGCCCTCGTCGTTAGTATATAAGTCTGGCAGAGAAAGCCAGCGGGATATAATGGAAGAAGAGAGAGCAGTAATTACTTTGAGTTCCGCGTAATTTATGATTCTGTTAGTTTCGAGCCGTAAAGTGTGTGTTTCGCACTCGACGAGAGCGAAATTATCGACATTGTGAATCGCTGTGATTTATAGCGTGTATTATAAAAGTTGTTAAGTTTATAGTGACGAGAAACGTACTGATTGTGGTACTACTGTGTACTAAAAGTTTGTATCGAGGAAGAATAAACTGGTTTAATCAAGAAAGGACTTGTATCGCTGAAGACGAAGAAATTGCAATACTTTGTTTAAATGTTAAATTATAGTTTGGCCTCGTGTTAACACTTGATTTATTTATAATTAAATTCTACATTTCAATAATAAAGCGGCCAATTCAGAAATATTTGCTAAATTATTTATTTGACAGAACAAAACACTACTTGAACACCATTCTTGAGAGGTTAAATATCATTTTATTGATAGTGTTACGACAGCGGAAGTCACGTGACCCTAGTAACACGCCACGCGCTTCTAGAACGTTCATGAAGCGTCGGGAGTTTACTAGATATGGGGTAGTCTTGTATATATAAGACTGGCCAAGAAGCGACGGGAACAATGTGTAATTGAACTGCGGACAGAGTATTGTTGAGTTGAGCACGTGAGACGATCGTTGTAAAATTAACTAACGAACAGGGGCGTAACAATATGTTCACTCACAACTTACGTTATTTGTTAACCACTCACACATGCACACATACATAAAGCGCTTTCGACACGTGAACTTTTCTTCGGGGTAAAGAAAAATACAGGTTCCACCTATCGAACAAAATAGTGTTTTATTGTGTGTTTTTTATGTAGCTAGTGTTAACTATATAACAGATGGTCCAGTAGTGAGTTGTTTTCTAAACGCCACAGTCGTTATTGGCCTAAACCAAAGCAACCGCTGGCTGAACGTATTAAAGACGATGACTTGACGTGAATGCATGACTTTAACTCACTTGACAGTCATAGAGTGTCTCATTATATAATGAACGCAAATGAGTCAGGGGGTATATGACTGTTGAGAAATGGAACTTGTTGACTGAACTTTTGGAAAACCATTTTATATAAGTTAGAGAAGCTTGCATAAGAACGTACGAATGAATGTAAAGAAGAATACGTAAACCACACCATACAGTAGCGACGAGTTCTTTCACCCAGTATCAGGGTGCATCGAGCCAGCTGGGATACGACAGATGCAGTAATGGTTGAGACGCTATCTACATAATCAAACTGCTTGAACAACGACTATTTCCGTGTGAGAAAGATTAAGCTGGTGAACTGTAATTCTTATCAATCTTATTTAAGTCATTACGCATCAGAATATATTTTATCATTTTTATTAACAACAAATTAGTTATTTATTTAAATACCAAATTACTGGAATAACAAACGAGGATATACTGGTAACGAAAATCGTGGTTAGTGTAACTGACTTAATTAAATGTGTGCGCCAAAATTAATTAATAACTTAGCAAATTTTAATTTTTTAATCATTTTCTCTCACCTGAACACACCCGTCCTGGTAGCTTAAGGTCAAGGTCTTCATAGAAGTCTTTACATTTACACGTATACGTTCCCGGTTGGTTTATGCATATGGCTGTTCTTGCACAGTCGTTGTAATCTTTCACGCATTCGTTAAAATCTGTAGAAAAATAAAAATAATCATGTACGTTGTTCGTAGGAGTTTTTTTTAGATTTACAAGTATTAAAAACTTATAATTCTTCTCATTATCTCGTCTATGTTATAATTTCTAATTTTTTTAAATCAGTTAATTAGTGCCAAAATAATCCTTTCCAAAATTTAAGTAACGTGAACGAAGATCACTATACCAAAAACAAATGAAATAAAATACTGTGTAAATTACGTTGAAAACATAAACTGGTGTTTTAAATAAACAAACATTTTGAATAATCATTACACTAACAAAGTGTGTTTTTAAAACTAACTGGCAAAGGAAAATTAAATTAAAATTTTTAATACAGCATTGTTGAACTTAGGCTTTCAAAAATAATTGTGTTTGGTTTTAATTTAAATACAATTAGCTTAATTTAATTCACATTTGAACATTTGGAATGCTTAGAATAAGTAAGACTAGTGAGATCAATGTTAATCGAAATATATTATAATGGGTAAAAGCTAGTTTCGAAATAAATAAAGTGTTCATGATAGACCAACTAATATAAAGATGTTGCCATTATATTACAATATTTTCTGTTTGAGATTCTGTCCCATCAGAAAGCGATGTCAACAACTCGGTTATATATCTCAATACAGTAGGACGTTTAGCAATAAAAAAATATTTTCGGAATGCAGCAGTAGAATAACTTTTCATTAATATATATGTATATTAAAATATATTGTTAAAGCTGGTCATAACGATCATATGCTCTGCAATAAATTGGCTACAATGTTACAAAAATGCATATTACAGACATGTGGACTATACATATATATTAGTATTGTTAAGATATCTCTCGTGTAATTTTTATATCTATCTTTGTGTGTATACATTATTATAAAGCTGTTTACAGTCTTATAGCAAGAAGCCAAATGGGAATCAAAATGTCCCTTCCCGGTTTGTTTGTTTTTAATTATGCACAAAGCTACACAAGGGCTATCTGTGCTCTGCCCACCGCGGGTATCGAAACCCGGTTTATAGCGTTGTAAGTCCGCAGGCATACCACTGTGCCACTGGGGGGCGTTCCTTCCCGGAAGAAAGCATGGAACATTAAATTATGCTGATTAAAATAAGATATACGCTAGCCATCAAAATCATCCTTATCAAAAATGGGTTGTAAAAAATGCACTTATTTTGCCGTCAAACGTTTTAACAAATTATAATTAATTAAATTCGATGACGATTTTGTTTTGATGAATGATTCCATTTTTATATTAATTTTAGCTAAACTTGATGCATATTGTATATAATTATTTTATAATGTAAATGGGGCAAATCTAGGGCCTAATTGCGGCACACAGGTGTAAAAAAAGGGCTTGAATAATATACTTCTGAAAAAAAAATCTAACAATTTAAGAGCCTTAAAACACTGCAACTGATCTTTATTATTTTTTTATTGTGTGTGTGTTAAAATTTCATGAGCTTTATTTTAAAATCTCTATCCATGAAAATGAAATTTGAAACGAAAAGAAGGAGAAAATAATATTCAACTAAACATTCATGACATTATCCTTTTGTAACTTTTCCATTTTCTTTTGATAATATATCGAGACTACACTCTTCTTTAATGTAAAGCTAGACACACTGTACTACATCTGTATCAAGCCACAAAATGTGAATAAACACCGTTTTTAAAAATATCTTTGAAATGGAAAGACATTAGACCAGATATATTTTCTATATATTTTTCAAAACAAGCATTAATCATTAAAATCAGTAAACAAAAACTTGGGTAACAGTTTTAGATCATAATTACTCAGGTTCAAATTATTAATGACTTATCCCCATTCCAACTGAGCATCACAGTATCACATCTGTGCTTTGAGACGTGTAGCATCTCTGATAACATCCATGCCATCTTTTACCATTGCCACTGAATGTGCTCTGTCACGAAACAGTGGAAAAAAGAGCAGAAACGGCAGGAGGTCCTGAATCTAGTGTTTGCTTCCTGGCAAAATAGGCAGACCAAGATGTAAAATAATGTTCATCAGCGTTTTCTTTGCTAAATTCATCCTCAACATTATGTAGCTATTCAATATGTGACATGCCAGAGCCTGTACTCATGCTTGGAGGAAATTCGCTTCCTGAAGTGACTGATGGAGAGGGATTGCTTGTTTTCAGTGATACAGGCGGAATGTCTGTACATATATTTGATAGACTTCTTACTACTCTTGCTTGTAACGCGTTAAGCATATCCAAGGTAACAATTTGCCCTTGATGATTATCATTTGCATGCTGCGTCAAACAAATTGCAGTCCAAAGAAATACAATTTCTTTGCAGGTTTAGATATTGGGTTATGCTCAATGTTGTCAAGACTGTCTGTCCTGTCTAGGTTGCCCTTCAATGATGGTAGATACACAACACCTGCGTTCTCATACGTTAGTATATTATGGTAGCAACATCTGAAGAAGCCAATAAAACTCCGGCATTAGACACAGACAACCATTTGTAATGTAATAATATGAACAAGCTCTTTCTTTCCTTGTCTTATCGTGGAGAAGTAGACCTAGATACAAAGGAAGCATGGTTCCATTTTTCAAAAGATGGCGTGGCTGCATGCCCACTTTTCTGTATCTTTTGAAAATGTTAAATACATAGAGCGATGTTACTGAATTTGTAACATTTGAAAGATTTATCTCAGTCTCTGTTTCATGAAAAATGTCTCTACCATTAACCATCATCTCGACTAAGGCAACTAATGATTCACTATATTGGGGATCAATAATAGAACCATTGAACTGATATGTTTTCTCAAAGATTTCTTAACAAACATTCTTTTCTGCTTGTAAGAGTATCATTATATCCCCTTTGCAATTGCCTTTACTTGGCACAAGCACAGAGCCTCCAATATCCTTTTAAAATGATAAAATTATTTCATGGTTACTTTTTGTGCTTCTAGAGAAGAAATTAAAGACATAATTTTATCATTGAGCTTCGTTGAGTTTACTATTTTAGAAACACCAATATATAAAGCTTTTTCAAACGTTTAACATATAGCTTTACAAGATCAGAATGTTTGAATATGTGATTTACATATATATATATATATATAGCTATTGTATTACTACCGTATCACGTGATAGTAAAGTTTTAAGAGTGGTTGCATGTCTCTTCCATCTCCTTCCATCTTTATAATCTTGGTATCTATGGCTGTCATATCACCTGATAAAAAATTTTACAGTGGTTTCGTGTCTCTTAGATCTTTTGCCATACTTCTAATATTGGCATCCATGGCTGCCATATAACCTGATGAAAGTTTTTCCAGTAATTGTGTATCTGTCAGACCTTTTGCCATATTTCTAATCTTGGCATCCATGGCTGCCATATCACCTGATAAAAGTTTTTCCAGTAACTGTGTATCTGTCAGACCTCTTGCCATATTTCTAATATTGGCATCCATAGCTGCCATATCATCTGATAAAAGTTTTTCCAGTAATTGTGTATCTGTCAGACCTCTTGCCATATTTCTAATCTTGGCATCCATGGCTGTCATATCACCTGATAAAAGTTTTTGTATGTGTCTTAGATTTGTTACCATCTTTCTAATCTTGTTTCTAAATTCCAGAAAAAGTAGATGCCATCTTTCACAGATAGCCATTGATATAAAACTAGTCGAAGTCTCTTTCTCCCTGGAATTGTAATGTTCTCTGTTTGCTTCTCTATGATATACTTGCTAACATGCTCTATCTTCTGTTAATTGCACACCATGTAACAGTTCTTATACCACGAAAAATTGTAGAATGACAATTTTTCTAAGACGCCATTTTCATCATCAAGTATTTTCAAGTCAAACTGGCAGTCTTGACAACATTCAGTTGAAAAGAAATTCATAACAACTATGGAGCATCCGATTATGTTTAGCATATAACACAAAAGGACCAGTCAATTTTATCATAGTAAGGGCTTACCACCGCCTTACTGGACATTATTACTATCCAAATATTATCTCAAACGTTTAAAAGTTACACCAACTGTTAGCATAAGATGCCAACTATTTTATGTTAATCGTGTTAAAAACAGTCTTCTTATGAAATGCTATGAAAATTCTAAAATGGTTTATATTTTTTAGTTTGAAAACATAAATTTAACAGATCACAAAGTTATATTTAATTAATTTCTCACATAAAATAGAACAAATTTATATTTTCACAGGGATCTAGAAAAATGATCAAATTTGAAAAAAATTACATAATTACATTTAATTCATGTCTCACATAAAAATGAACCAAATTTACAAATCAAACAATTATATTTAATCCATTTCTCACATAAAAAATTAAGCAAAACTACATTTTCACAGGAATCTGGAAAAATAACAAAATTTGGAATCGACTTTACTTTTTTTTATTATATGGATCATGCATAACATACACTTACATGCATCTATATCTTTAAAATTGTTTGCTGGAAGTAACAATAAAAGTGTAGCAGTTATTCAAGATATTTAAAATACCAATAATCTTTGAATGCTTACCATTTCTTAGATTGATTCCATTTGAAATGGATTTTCTGAAAGTTCTTCAATAAATAAATATTCTACTTCACTATAGATTAGTTTGTGTGCAAATGGAATATATTAATAAAAGAGGACACTTCTCATAATGGAAATCTGTTGTAAAGAAGGTGATATTTTTTCTTCTGTTTTTTTTTAATTGACAAATTATTTTCCTTTCAAATATATTTTGTTATAAAAGGCATTATATTTGTGGAATATATCCATTGTAAGTAAAATTATTACAATACATTTATGAATCAAACTAAAATAATATTTAGTTCGTAAATATATGTATAATGTAAATGTGTATCATATAAACATTTATTAGGTTCCCATTAATTAAGAGTTGCCCCTTATTCGACCTCTTTTTGTTAAGGACCTCTCGTTAGATGACTTGTCTTATCATATTTTAATCAGTATACTTTAAACCTCCTATATGTAAAGTTTCGTGCTTTCTTCTTGAAAGGAATACCTTTTGTGTATATCCACAAGACTATTATGATATATTGGATATAAATATAGAAATGACACCTAACACTAACCTTGGACATTTTGTACACTTTGTGTCAGCGAACTGACATAAAGCTCCGTGTTTCCAACGCTGTAGTTTGACGCTAGGATGGATTGCGAGAGCTCTTCACTCAATAAGTTTTCATCAATTACAGAGTTTCGCTTAACACGAACCGTAAAATTTACAAGGACGCCGCCTTCATCCACTTCATTTAACTCGTTCATCTCGTCAACGCTGATTATACTGTTGACATCAGCAGTGACGTAATTTTGCTTGACTTTGGAGTTTTCGTATGCCTGGTGAATCTGTCAGCGTAAGATCAGTTGATTTATAAGATTACTGTATTAAATTATGGATTCGTCATCATTATCTAACATTCTATAATTGGAAAAATGAGTTTTATCACCCACTGATAGACTCCAGGTGCATTTATTTTTCTTATTTCCATCATGTTTTAGTTTATTCTTTAAATTCAATACTTGTTTGCTTGTTTGAAATTAAGCACAAAGCTACACAATGGGCTATCTGTGCTCTGCCCACCACGGGTATCGAAACCCGGTTTCTAGCGGTATAAGTCCGCAGACATACCGCTGTGACACTGGGGAGGGAGGGGGCAAATTAAATACTCAGAAAGATTTTTTTTAAAAGATTAAGCAAAATAACAGACAATTTTGAAGGTAATTACAAACACTGAAAATAACCAGAAAACTCGAAAGAGTTACTATAAACAATTTAAAAATAGATTAGTTTAATGCAGATGCTAAAGCTCGTGTTTCTTCTTTGAAATGTTGATATATATACATGTTTATATATATAACTCTCTTAATCATATTATATCTTTTGAAATCCTTGGTAATTTACTTTTGTTGTTCTTTAAAGGTTGCAATTAGCTTTAGAATGTTTATCTCCTCAGGTAAAAATGTTGGCTTAAAAATATACTTATGGAATGAAATAAAAATTAGGCTTGTCAGTTTGAGCCTCTCCAGAACGATATTAGGAGAGTTATTGATGTACATCAATCTTACTCTGGAGGTGTTAGATGTTCGGTAACATACCACCTACTTACTCCTTTCTTAGCCATCACTGCCAGCTCTTTAAATTCAGGAGATAAACTGTTGGAGAATTCTGTTTTGTAAGTAAGAATCGATTCTTTCATCCTCACCAGACGGAGCACCACTACGTAACTTTTGATATCTGTATACAAAAATTAAAAAACGAAAAATATATATATATATAAATATTAACAAAATGAATGATTCTAAGTTTTGTTGACACGATTTAAATAGTCTTAACATCTAAATAACTTAATATATCACACTTTGTCCATTTCATCTTACATGACAATTCACTCTTAAACAGAACAAAACGTTTAATTTTAAGTGATTTTACCTTCATTCTTAGTTTATCTGTGCCGATACATTTCTTGAAAAATATCACTTAAAGTGAGTATAACATCAACAAAATGAATAATTAATAAATTCGTTTTAAATCACAATGACGCTTTACTATTTAAAAATGAAATGTCTTTCTGGTCATAAAATAATAAAATAATTTAGCCCTTTCTAGTATATTTAAAATGAACACTGAATACGATACAATCTAACTAAATTGTTCTTCTGTCCAGAACGTCATAAATTGTACTGGTAATGTCAATGCTATAACTGTGAAATTATAAATCTTCGTTCTTGTAATTTTAGGTTTCGGAAGAGAAAATTGGAAGAAAATTCGTTTTTGCTTTAATATAGAACTGGAAGTACCTTCACACAATGTTGAGTTCTCAGTTCGAGCGAATCCAGGTCTACACTCGCAAGACAAACCGACAGGGGTCTTCTTGCACATTTCTTTGTTTTTCGCATTACATTCAGGTATACAGCGTTCTTCTTTAGTTTCTTCATCCGAATCTTTTCCACTCGAGGTTGTTGATTTTGGTGGTGGAGGGGACGTTGGTGGTGGAGTAGGTGGCCTTGTGGGGAATCTCAGCTTGGGGATCGGACCGATGAATTTGGGAGCTGGAGTTGTTGGAACTGTTGGACGGTTTCTAGGTCTAAATAACAAAAATGGCTTCCTTGTCGTGGTTTTAGTTGGGTCAGTCTTCCTTTTTGGTGTTGCTGAGAAGCTACCCTTGAATAAGGTTCTTACTTTTGGAGTCGTTGAACCGGGCGGGGAGAACCTAGTTCGAACATTTACTTTGAAAATATTCTCAGTGGTTGTGGATGGAATTACGTTGGATATTTTGGTTGGTTTTATTTCTTCATTTTGCAAGACTAACGTTCGAACTACAGTTGTAGTGATAGAATTAAAGACCATTGTTGTAGTAGTAACCGTTGTTGTTGTTGATTCTGAAGGTAATTCTGTTTTTTCGATCTTCACTGATTCTGTTGGTTTGGAGAATGTTCCCAAAATAGTCTTGTTGCCAATTATAGTGGATACAAACGTGCGTGGTGCAATTGTGGTGGTAAAAATAGAAGATATGGTAAGTGTACTTTCCCGAGTGTAAATCATTTTAGTGGTTGTTAATATTAATGTTCGGGTTGCAGACTCCAAACTGGTAACATAACGCGTAGGTGTGTTGTCATTACTCAACATTTCCTCTTTTTTGGAAGTACCTGGAATTTGGTTTTTATTACCAGGAAGGGGGAAAAATATTGTTCTAACTTCTGGTGGTGGTTTCGTTCGGGTTGTGTGTCCATTACTACCACTAGACTGAGAATTTGGTAAGAGTGGGGTGAAACCATTTGAAAATTTTTTTACCTCTCCCGTAACTGTACGTTCTTCATTGTTTTTACCGGCTGACGTTTCCAGAGTAACAGAAGATCCAGTTTGAGTCTTAAGTCGAGAAGTTGTTTCCTTGTCCGAGTTCTTTTGAGTTTGTCGTGTGAGTGTATCTACAAACACGGTCTTGAAGCCAGTGAGCACTGACGCACTTCCTTCAGTATTTATTCTTGGTGTAACTGTGCCACTGGAAATAATTTCAGAAATCGTTTTAATACTTCCTTCTAGCTTCAACGTGCTTTCATTTCTTGACTCATCGCCGGGTGACTCAAGTAAAACTGTTTGACTCGTTGCTGCTACCTCTGAAACTGGCGTTGGTTCAAATAATGTGATCTTTATTCCTGTAAACGTGTGGGTTTCTTTATCACCATAAGATTTTTTGCTATGAGATAATGTTCCTGAGATTTGAACGCTTACGTCTTTCGTTTTATACCTTCTTCGTAAGAAGTATTTAATGACTGTGCCGTTTGTTCAGTTTCTTTGTGAACACTAGAAGGTTTTATAGAAACCTCTTTCTCCTTTTCTTCAGGATTTAAACCTGGGAAAATCTCTCTTGTTTCATTTATGGTACTTCCTGTAATATTAATCTTATTTAAAATACCTTTCACAGCCTCCGCTAGGTTGCCAGCTATATTAGGATTCCCTCCAAGAAGGTCTGACAAATCTATAACTGATCCTGACTGAATGTTACCTTCCTCGTCGGTTGATGTTTTATTACTCTGTTGTTTGCCATGTGAAATAGCGGATGGCAAAACAAACTCGCTTAGTTTTGTCACAAAGCCACTTGTATCATTCGTTATGACTTGTGAGGTATTATCCGTCTTTTCGTATGTCTTCGAAAGATTACCATTCTCATCACTAATGTACGTTGGTATTATTATAGGAGTTTCGGATGAGATAGAAACATTTTCCGTTTCTTTTACAATTTCAGGTTTGGTAGAGGCAATGGATGTAGACAATGAAGATTGTGACTTGTCAGGAAATATAAAATCTGTAAAGAAAACAACGGTAGACCCATCAACTACAGTCGTAGAAGTTCCACTAACAAGAGATGTTGAACTACTACTTGTTGTAGCTCTTATTGTTTCATTGACTTTCATCTCCTCAGTTATACTCTTTCCGGCTAACTCTGTAGACGTAATCTCTTTTATCTTCTCATCAGTTTCTAAAGGTTTAAAACTAGAAACAAGCGTTGTCTCTATGTGTTCAGAATAGGTTGTAGTGGGTTTTTCTTCACTTTCCACTGCTCCAGAGGTCTCATTATTTATCTTTGTCATGATCTTTTTACTGAAAACACTAGATTCTATGTGTGAGCTCGTGCTACTTTTCTTAGATAAGCTAGTTTGAATGCTCTCAGTCTGAATTTGTACAGAGTCTTCTTCCCCCACGGTAGAAACATCAGATAATGTCGGCGTGCTCGTATTAGTTGAGACAGTCTCAAGCGGTAACGTGACAATACTGATCGTACTTCCCTTTTCACTGTTGACTAGAACTGAAGACTTGGGTTTACTTAGTCTAACAGCGGTAACATAATCTTCTGTGTCACTTCTACTTAACATTGACGTTAAAGGTCTCTTTACGCTAATAATACTTGCAACGTCTTCTTTATCACTAGTGCTAGTAATTGAAGCGGAAGGTTTGTGTAAAATAACTGCAGTTTCCAGAGACTGATCAACAGTAGACACTGTTTGACTACTCTTTAGAGAAAGTGTCTCGACCGGTGATGATCTCAATTCTTTTGTCTCTGTTGCAGTAGTTGGTTGTATTGTCACAAACTGCTTGACTGATTTTAAGCTCGAGGAAACTCTCGTTTGGCCTCCTGTTGTAAATGTTGAGTAATACGTAAACGTGGAAAAGAAAGTCAAAACACTCTCGGAAGAAGATACTCGGGTAGGTGTCGGAAAATTTTCTGATGAGAGAGATAACGATGACTTTTTCACATGAGGAATAATCTGTTGATTTGTAATAATCACTTGGTCTTCGCCATCAAAAAGTGTTGTGAAGAACGTGTAAGTACTGTAATCGGTTTTATCAGTATAAGATACAGAAGGTTTGATCAGTGAGGTCATGGTTAATTCACTGCTCTCAAGAGAAGTTTTTTCTGGAACAAAAACAGTTATGTAAGAAGTAGCTACCTCTTCCTTGCTCGAAACAATCGTATTGGTTCCACTATTTAGTGTTGTGTAGTAGGTATAGGTCGTGAAATATGTCTGCAAGGACGGCACAAGTTGTGGGTGGGAGGTTTCGGGTGGGTTCTCGGAGGCTGTCTTGGAAGTAACAATGGCAGACGTTTTTGAAGAATGCACTTCTTCTGCGATACTTGTATCGATAGGACTAAATGATATAGAACCTTTGATAGTCTCTGTAGCAGTTGTGGTTATAAGTTTAGAATATACTTCTTCAATCGACGACAGAATAGTTTGTGTACCGCTGAATAAAGTAACGTAATGGGTATTCGTAGAATACAGAGTTTGTGTAATGGTTTTTGTAATCTCGAATTCAGGTGCTTCTTTGCTTTCTGAAGTGCTTCTGACAATTGTTGGTCTAATATTATTTGTGCTGAGTGTTGAGAATGTATTGTAAAGTGAGCTTTCTGATGTCGACCTACTTTTGGGTATAAATAAATGTGTCTCAACAAACGGCACTTTCGAACTTTCTGATGTCGGCCTACTTTTGGGTATGAATAAATGTGTCTTAACAGACGGTATTTTCGAACTTTCTGATGTCGACCTACTTTTGGGTATAAATAAATGTGTCTCAACAAACGGCACTTTCGAACTTTCTGATGTCGGCCTACTTTTGGGTATGAATAAATGTGTCTTAACAGATGGTATTTTCGAACTTTCTGATGTCGGCCTACTTTTGGGTATGAATAAATGTGTCTTAACAGATGGTATTTTCGAACTTTCTGATGTCGACCTATTTTCAGGTGTAGATAAATGTGTCTCAATAAATGGTGTAAAACCTCGCAGAGGAGATGATAGTAGAAAGCTGCTAGTAGATGATGGAAGCGAAGTGCTAACAATGATTGATGGCTTGGAAGTGCTAAATGTTTCTGCTATAGCGGCACTTGGCTTTGCAATAGAACCATGCAATGTGATTGTGTACACATTAGAAACTACTTCTTCAATGCTTGAAATCAGTGACGAATCTTCTTGAAACAGAGTAATAAAGTTAGTTAGGGTAGTGTAATCTGTTACAGTGGAATACACTGGGGTGGGCTTTAGGGGCTTTGAAGACTCAATTGATATTGGTAGAGTCTCTGTTGAAGCAAAAGTTGGACTTAGTGTACGTGTAAAAGTGACGAGCTCAGTAACTGTGTACACTTCAGAATGGACGTCCTCTATTGATGAAACAAATGAGCTTGAGCCATTAAAAAGCGTAGCAAAAATGGTGGACGTGCTGAAAACAGTGGTAGTTTTGAGTTCCTCACTTGTTTCTATCAAGGTTGAAAACTCTTCAGCCAAATGAGTACCCGGCTCAGTTGAGGTACTAGAAGAGGTGTTTTCTCCTGAGGGAGGAACAGTAACCACATTAGAAACCACTTTTTTAGAACTAGTAACAATAGGAGAACTCCCCGAGAAAAGGGTTGTGTAGAGGGTGAAAGTGGTGTAAAGAGTTTGTAGGTCATTATCATCTTGCTGAAGAACGGATGATACACTTGTGATATCACTCACTGTAGACTCTTTTTCAGACAGCGTATCAGATGTTGATGGGATGGGATAAAACTTGGTTGTTAACATCTGATCACTAACATCTTTTTTGGTTACAGAAGAAGAATCTTTCAAAACACCGTTTACGGATTTTTCAAGTTCAACAAGTTCTTCAGGCGTGAATGTTAGTATAGCATCATCTGTTCCTAAAGAAACAAACACCAGGTGTAAAATATTCACAAGTGTACATAGGTGGTAATGATATATATATTCAGAACACTGAAAATAATATTTCTACGAATATATCAGCAAGATGAATTTTATATCCAAGTTACAAAAACCTCTCATTGGTACAACTAAGATATTTATTAAGAGTACTAAGTTTTAGTATTTATGTTATTATTGAAAAATTTCACAAACAAACCTACTACTTTATATTTCCGATACTTATTAACATTATTTTCATACATTTATCTAGCCGTCTCTAATTTAGCAGTGTAAGACTAGAGGGAAGGCAGCTAGTCATCACCACCCACCGCCAACTCTTGGGCTACTCTTTTACCAACGAATAGTGGGATTGACCGTCACA